CGCCCACGGCCCATATCGCACGGGGCCCCGGTCAGGGTTCAACTCGATGCCATTTGGCGTTATGAGGGCCAGGTTCTTAATAGCGATCTTTTGACCTCCTGCAAGAAGGTATGTTTGTGGCGCTGGGTATTTTTGCTATGCTTGTCTATGCCAAGCCTACATCTTCAGCGCGGTAAGCAAGCCGCCATTCAGAAGAAAGATCCATCGCCTCAGTAACAACATACCTAGGATCAATCGAAGTGTTCGTCTCGCACGCGGCGTCCGCAACAATGGAGTCGCCCGACGCGTGCCCTGCAGGGGCCGCGTCTGCGGGGTCAACTTCTTCGGCCATTTCATCATCTTCATCTTCTTCAGCTTCTTGCTGATCATCTTTTTCTTCTGATTTAGGATCAGCGGGCCCCCCGCGCGTCCCGAGTGCCAGTTTCGATCGAACTGCTCCAGATAATGAATAGGTGTGAGGTTTTCCCAAATCTGAGTATATTGGGATATCTCACTGTCTGTTGCTTGCTCGTAGTCGCCTCCCGTCAACTGCCCCAAATATGGAGTTTTATGAGGATCGGTGCAGCGCCCTCGACCATCACCATGAGACCATGCCCGAGGTGCCCTCTTGAAGTTCGGGCGTCTTGATGGGCGTCTCACGGGGCAGCCAGGCCCGCGGTCTGCATAGGCGGGGCATGTGCAGCAAACACCTTCATGGGGCTTCTTTGCCATCGATGGCAGCTCCCTTGTGATCGCGCTTGACAATCGTTTCTTGTGTTCTAACAGGTCCAGTCCATTTCGAGCGAATGATCTCGCCGCCTTTACCTCGTGTAACATTGCGAAGAGAGTGCCAGTGACGGATCCGATGTCCAGCCCAACCCTGGCCCCGCCAATACTGCATCATTGTATATGGGGGGCCAATCCAGCTTCCGCGTAACCAGCGAGGCGCTGAATTCCGCCATCTGGACGTTCATCTCGCGGCTGATCATCTTGAGGCGGGTGTCCCCGCAGGCGCTCTCTCCTCGGGGGAGCGACAGGCCCATCGGCCTGCCATGGCGGGGCCTTTGGAGGCCCGCATCAGGACGATGCAGACGCTGAAGACCACTGGAGCGAGCGCCACTGGAGCGAGCACGCGCGCGATCAGGTGAGCGGCTGGGGAACCGATCGCGACGTACCATGCGGTCGCTATCTTCCCATTATTCGTCCTCGTCGTCGTCGCGATGCCTGTTCCTCCAGATCTGGCGGCTTGCCGATCGCTTCTGGCGGCTCATGGACCGATCTGACGCAACAGAAGCACATTGAAATTCTTCATCATGGCCAAGCTCGCATCGAATACGCTCAGATAAAATCACCAGCGTCTCACGGGTGCCCCCGCCAAGGATCATCGCCACTTAATTCCATGTCGGATTTCCAATAACCCGAGGATGAAGCATCAAGTGAATTTCCGTCGGCTGCAGGAATGGTAACTTCTGAATCCGCGGGTGCCCCCGCCATGTCAGCATCTCCGTCGGCGGGCGCGTCGAAGTTCTTGACAAACTCAATACCTGTAGGTTGCCACGCGATGGGCATGCCCAGCCATTCTATTCTGCCAAAACGATGTCGCCGTGGCCAGTGGGCACCTCCTCGAACAGCTCGCAGGCGCAATTCTCGAGGGCCATACTGGCGCTGACATATATCGCAGCCCTGAACTGAACAACTGTGGCTGAGCTATCGGCAGGGTCAGCTAAAACAGACTCCTAGTCAACAGACTGCATGTCGGAATCTGTTTGAACCAAATGTGTTGACGGACCCCTGCCTCTTCCATCACCTTGAACTTTGAGGGCATTCGCGCCGGAAATGGTGCGCTCTGTGGCACATGTCGCAATCCATAGTTTTACCGATGGCATCCTTTGGGTTTCCCCGTCGTCCTTTGCCTTTGTTCCGATGTATACCTGCGGCTTCTCCCAGCGCTTAAAAACAGTTCTTCGCACTGTGGTCCAGTAAGATGCTAAGAATACTAGTATGCCTCTACCATGCAATCGCCGACGCTTACATTTACCTGTACTTCGGCCTTTGCCTTTTCCTTTGAGTGATCGTCGCGCGATGGACCTCACCTTTCGGACTGGTTTCTTTTTCATGAACCTTCGCCAGCGACGCCTGTGTTTTTGGTGGCCTACAAATAACAATTGCGCTCGTTGCTCTTCAGTAGGGTATGTAAGCATATCCGAGTACTCGAGGGCTGTAGCTTCATCGTCTGAAGACGAATCGGCATCAGTTAGGGCCATGGCCTGCGTGGGGGATGCCGCATCAGGCGGTCCCCGAAGTCTGGCCCAGGAGTCTTGCGACCCCAAGGCCGCTCCACCATTCCGAGCCAGCAGTGTAGTGGTCTCAGTTGGTTGTGGATCATGATCCCAGACTTTGTTGGCGGGCTGCCCTGCGTTGTTAGCCTCCACGTGGAAGGCCTCGGCTCGGTGACCGCGACTAAACATGCCACCAATATTGCCGGGAGTTCTCTCCGCAACGCGAGCATATGACCCGGTACGTTCAAGTAGAGCGTCAATGTGTTGTTGGTCTCTCGGCACGCGGTGGTTTAGAGGCTGCAGGAGTTGCTGTGCACGCGACGCCCCCACTCCAAGAGCTCTGAATATAATCACTGTCAGGATTTTGCAGTTGGAGATGTTGGAGCTGGCTCTTTTAACTTCATACAGGGCTATCTCAAAACGTGCTAACGTCTGGTCGATGCGTTCCCCCGCATGGACTCAGAAGTCCATGAGAGCAGTACCAGAGTTGAGTTGACGCTCCTCTTCTAAATTCTCGAACTTGGTGCTTAAGAGGAACATGATATAAGTGGCACCGTCGGTGGGGCGGCCACCTATGTTGACGCCAAAGTTGATAACTGCTGGAGGGACTCTCATGGCTATGGTCCGTGCGAGACCTCCCAAACCTCGCTGCAGAGCTGCAGCCTGTTGGGAGGGCGTCATACTGCCTGTGGTCACGTTGATCCAGGCATGTACTTCGCGGACGAATTTGCAAAAGGGTACGTGACCGGCTGGGTCCCAGCGAAGGCCAGTCGTTCGCGCGTCGTCTCCGCCACGCATATGTCCTACCGCACATCCAATAGCGACCCAGGTGAGCCAAAAGATAGTAACACCAATCCAGTGGCCTCGTAGGTCGTAGTCGGATGTAGTCGGTTGGGACTTCCGTTGGGTAGTCGTAAGTCTGCGTGGGGGTGGAGGCGGCAGTATATCATATCGCATGTTTCCATGCATTATATCTTCGAGAAAATTTCCAAGTGGAGTAGGTGGGTGGACTTCAGGAGTGTAGAGGCGCAGAGATGTAGTATGTAAGTATGATGCCTCCGCTTGAGCAGAGGTATCGCTGCAAGTGTCCTTGCGATATTGAGTGGCTATATACATTCTTCCGCGCAAACCCACTGCACTCTGATGTTCCACCATGTCCGTAGTCCACCAGATAGTGCCGTGGATGGTGAGGAGTAGAGCTGAGCTGGCCACCATAGGACAGCTTCGCTAGCAAGTTTGAAGAGGACTGGGAGGCCCAGCCAGCAGCTTCGCCTTAGGCGAAGCCAAGCTCCTGCTCTGTTGTACCGTAGTAACGATAGTCCCAGTAGGAGAGGATGTGCCATCTTAAGCAATAGGATGATCCTTTTGGTCTCGATAGCGACTGTGTGCCTCGCAGTGAGGCACAGTCATATTTGGGCGGCCGGCCGCTTCAGCCGACGCGGCCGCGGGCGCACGCTCGTTTCCACTCCTTACGTCCCTCAGCTCGCTTTAGAGTCACCAGTCCTCTGGGTGCCAAAACCACTGATGTTACTAAGGTTTTGGCCCCATTTGGGCCTCTTTGGGGGGGCCGAGCGTGACCCCACCAGCCTTCTGGGCGCCAAAATCAATTGTTTTACTAAGGTTGTGGCCCCATGTTCGCGTCTTGGGGGGGGGGGGGGCTGAACGTTGTTCCACCAACCCTCTGGGCCAAAATCATTGGTTTTACCAAGAAGTTTGGGCCCCATGTTGGCCTCTTTTTTGGGGGGGGAACGTTGCCCCATCTCTCCTTTGATCGATGGCCTTCAAAATGGCCCCAAGAGGTCTTCCAGTGCTTCCAAGAGGGCCCCAAGGGAGCCCCAAGAGGGCCCTCTTGAGGGCCCCAAGACGGCTAAAAGAGCCCCAAGAAAGCTCCAATACCCTCCCAAAGAGCTCCAGGAGAGCTCCAAGAGGCGATTTTGAGGGCTCCTGGGAAGGGGCCGAAATCGAGGACCCCCCATCATTTGATCCATGTTCTCCTAGATGGCCCCAATGGGCCTTCCAGGGCACCAGCCGCAGCACCAGCAGAGGCAGCAGCACCACCACCAGCAGCACCAGGGATCACACTTTCTGGATCCCTCCACTTCCTCCTCCCCCTCTTCCTCCTCCTCTTCCCCTCGCCCCCACGCGGCCCCCAGGGATGGCCCGAAGAGGCCTTCCAAGGCCACCCCCTTGCTCCCAGAGATCTCTCGGTTCATCCTGGTTGCTCGCTGTGTTCCCTAGATGTGTCGTCCCTTTTTCTGGCAGCTCTCGTGGGCAGGGCTTCTGAATGGGCTGGCAGTGATACTTTTTGTTAGCAGCCGCGGGCGAGAGCGCCGGCGGCGATTAAGAAGGTTCAAGCGGGCCGCGCGAGAGCCTAATTGCCTAGCGCCGACGGGCCGACGGCCTAAGAAGTACCTAAGCGGGCGGGCCGGCGGGAGGGGGGGGCGGGCTGCAGCTGCCAGGTACCAGCAACGATGCCAACCAGGAGCGCGCACATGCACGATTAGCCAACCAGAGTTGGGGCGCAGCCAAAATGGCGCGGGGGTGGTACCAGGGTATGGCCAAGCCGCCACTAGTACACTGAAAGCTACCAGGAGACCATACTGGCCAAAGACTGGTGCGTAGGGTGGCGCCACCAAAGTCGCACACCGAGACTCCTGAAGGGAGTAAGATGAAGGGCTGGCGGGGGTACGCGAAGCGTGAAGAACAGTGGAACTCATGAAAATTTGTATCATCCAAACGAGCCTCGAAGGGATCCCCGGCCACGTAGGTGTCCGAGGCCGCCCCCGCGAGGCTGGCGTAGTGGGAGAACTCTGCGGGTGTGTACGCGCGGTCCGCGCGGGACGTGCCCATACAGGGGGACGACGGCTCGACGCTCCGATTCACGATTCCCCACGGGTTGGCGAGCGCCTATTAGCGGCGCGCACGAGGGGAGGGGGGGGCGCGCAGGGGGCGGCCTTCTACGAAGGCGAGGGGCAGTTTCAAAGGCAAGGGCCTTCCCAGAAGCCCTCCCGGCTTCTGAGAAGCCCTGCGGAGCCTCCAGGGCCTTCTGGGAAAGCCCCCTGCCTTCTCAGAGCCCCCCAGCCTTCTCAGAGGGCCACCCCCCTCACAGCCCCCCCCTCCACCCTGTGGGCGCCGCCAGGCCTGGTGCTCCCCGATGCACCAGGGGCAGTACGGACTCGAGGCCAGGCGCCTCGGGCTCGGCCTCGTGACGGCGCCGTGGGCGCTGGCCCTCGCGAGGCCCGCCAGGGCGAGCAGCACAAGCTCCGCCGCGCGTGCAGGCATGCCGAGAGCGGGAAGTGGAAGCGCGGCAGAAAGGGGTAGCGCCGAGGGAGCAAGAGCAGTAACAGTGGCGCGCCGCCGTGGGGAATTCAGCAGCGTGGCAGTGTTGAAGAAGCACAAGGCTTTCGGACAAAGACGACAGAGCAACACGCTAACGGGCTCCCCACGGCGGCGTGTCATACCCTGTTTCCCTCCCGAAATGTGCAGCGGGGCGGACACCAGGTTGAGATGAAACGGCTACGGCCCAGGTGTCGGCGCCATCCTGCTGGGGACGGGTACTCACCGTAGCCGCGCACTCTGATCGGTGCAGGGCGCTGGCGTTATCCTTCCATTCTCCTGCGCCAGCCTCGCGCGAAAAAAGCGTTTCCCTGCCATTGTCTCGGGCGCCGCCAAACCGACACGTTCCGTGACGACCCCCTCTTCGCCCTCGAGACCTCCCTCTGGCCGCTTGCCCACCTCTTGGAACGAGGCGATGGGGTCGAAGCGGAATTGTCGTTAGCTCCCACCCCATTCCTCCATTTACGTTGGTCAAGCAAATACTATTTCAGGCCGCCCCCATCCCTGGCGCGGGGCTGGAGCGGCAAGCAGCTATGGAAGGAGGCGCAGCGGCGCCACAGCGGAAACGCCACAGAAAGGGGTGGGATGGTGGGCGGCGGGACCAACGGTCCCACCCTCGATCTGGAGAACGCCGGGGCGCTTGGAGAGTCACGGAGGGGGGGGACTGGAAGTCTAACTTCGCTTCACATTCGTGAGCTCGAGTTTGTCAGGCGTCGGTTAGGCCGCCCCTGACTTTCCTGCCACTTTCCTGCGCGCTGCAGACATACCCGTCACAGTCTATCCACCTCGGTGGCGTCGAAGAGAGGAGGGGGACGTCCCTGGAGGTCCCAGAGGCCTCTGAAGGTCGCTCCAGGAGCACTCCCCGACGACAACGGCCACGGTCGATGCTCGAGGATCCAGGATTTTGACATTTGCTGCTGCCTCTGCAAATCTCAAGGGAGCTCTGCGGAGGCTCCCGAGAACCTCCCAAAAAATCCGACGTCAGTGATCTGTTCAGAACATGGACCCCCGGAGCTCCGGACCTGATCTTCCCTGGGATCGGCTTTCACCCCGAGTCATTCTTCACGGTACCTGGGCACGGTGAGGAATGACGGAGTGCGTGCGATCCTTTCATCTCCCATCCTCCGCCCGACGCTTACGTCCTCTTCTGAGTTCCTGAGATTTCCTGAGATGTTGGCCGAAGGGCCTACATCTATTTTGCCAGCCCATCAGGGGCTGCCTCTTTTTATACTGACCCGCCAGGGGCAACGTGACGAGGCCCGGCCGGGGCCTGTGTGCTTGAGGACCTCTGGAAAGCCTTCTGGAGGTACCCTGCCCGCCGCCGCCGTTTGGCTCTGCGGGCCCCGCAGGGCCCTTGACTAATTTACGGTCTTCCGCCCGGCGGGCGGCTGATGAGAGCTCTGGTGCTGCGCGCTGGAGAGTGAAAGCATCCTGATCGCTTTGAGACTCCACCAGTGGTAGCGGAGCCCGCCGCTGGCGGGCAGATCCACGCGCTCGGCGGCGCCGAGCAGCAGCAGCAGCTCCAGCTCCAGCGGCGCTGGAGACGACTTGCGAGACGAGTACGACCCAGCTCGACGGCGTCGAGAAATGATGTTATAGGATGGATCGCGGTCGCGACGACCATCCCGGTGGTGGCGGCGCCGAGGGCTACAGCCTCATCCCGGTCTGGGACGGCGCGCCACAGAGTTGGAGGCGCTATCGTGATGACGTAGAGATCTGGGCACTGGGCACCAACCTGGACGCGAACTACTGCGTCGCGGCGCGGCTCGTGAGCCGGCTCAAGGGCGCTGCCAGGAGGGTCGGCATCAGGATTCCGAGGGAGCGTCTTCAGCCGCTCCAGGCGTCGCCAGCAGAGTATGATGAGGATGGACAGGTGGTCCGAGAGGCGACGGAGGCCGACAACATGAGAGGTAACAATAACGTGCTCGAAGCGCTGGAGGCGGCGCTAGGCGAGCAGTATGCAGTGCGGAGAGGCAAGACGATATCCAACTTCCTCAAGGGCTCCCGGTACAACCGGAGAGCTAGCGAGCGCATGACGGATTTCGTGGCGAGGTTCGCGGAAGGCGTCCAGAGGCTAGAGGACGATGGAGTGCGATTTGCGGACCAGGACGACATCCTGGGCTGGTGGTTCCTCGAGAAGTGCTGCCTCTCGCCCGAGCGATGGGAGCGAGTGGTGGCGGCTCTCCCAGATGACAAATACTCGTACAGAGACCTGAAGACGATCGTGGTCAGAATCTTCCCGGACCTACACATGACGGAGAGCCGACGGACGCAACACCCTGCGCGGTTCCAGCAGCGAGGCCAGAACCAGCGGTTCGGGCAGCGGCGGCCAGGTCCTGCAGGCTCTGGCACGTCCACGCGTGGCGTGAATGCGACGGAGCTCGAGGACCACGCGGAGGACCACGGGGACGAGCAGCAGCAGGACGACGACTACGGCGACGACCCCGAGGAGCAGGAGCACGAGGTCAACGAGGTCGAGGTCTCGGAGATCCAGGGGTTCGTGCGCCAGGAGCTGGAGGCGCTGGCGACGGAGCTAGAGGATAGCCCGATGGAACTCCCGCCCGAGGACTCCGCAGCGCTGGAGGAGGCGGCGCTCCAGGTGTCGCAGTTCACCGAGGCGCTAGAGGTCATCAGGGACGCGCGTGGACGTATCCAGGGTCGCGTTGGAAGTGTCGGCAAGATGAAAGGTAAGGGCCGCGGCAAGTCAGGGGGGCGTCCATCCTCTGGTGCCGGGCGCGGCGGGCCCCGGCCCGCCAGGGGCAAGGAGCTCGCGGAGAAGCTGAGGCAGAGGAAGCTCAAGTCGACCTGCCTTGCGGACAGCCAGGGCACTGGGCAGGTGATCCAGAGTGCAAGGCCCCGCGCACTACGATGATCACGGCAGCAGGCAACGACTCGGACTCGGTCCACGACGCGCTGTCCGTCGAGCAGGTGAAGGCCGACAAGGCCGAGGCGAAGGAGGTGTTGAGGAATGAACTGATCAAGAAGGTAAAGGACCACCTCCGCGGGGTGGTGGAGACGGCGTGCGTCATATCGACGATGGGCGATGTCTGGTGGCAGGCCTACACGGAGGTGTTGGCGGAGCTGGGCATCAGCTACCTCGTCGAGCGCGAAGAGATCACCGAGAAGTTCAGGTTCGGTGACGGCGCGACGCTGATGTCCTACGAGGCGTTCCGCTTCCCAGCGGTGGTCGCGGGCATGCCCGTCATGGTGTGCTCCTGTGTGGTCAAGAGCGACAAGCTGGGCCTGCTGTTGGGGCGTGACTTCCTGGAGGCGATCGGCGCAAGCATCGACGTGGCGAGGCGCAAGCTCACGGTGGGCCCCGGGTCGCAGCCGTTGCTAGATTCGGAGAATCGCCACTTCGCGCTGGAGCTCAAGCCCGAGAAGTATCGCGCCCTGTCGAAGGCCTACGCTCGCAGAGAGGAGCTCCCGCCCAAGTTCGGCCATCGAGCTAGGCCATCACCGCCTCCTCGTGGAGGCATGGGCGCACTGGTGCTGAAGGTGTTCGCCATCGCGGCGACCATGTGCTGTTCAGAGGCCAAGGTCAGCAAGGCGATTGGCGACAAGCCCAAGGGTCAGGACAAGACGAACGACAACACCACTGTCGGGAACGTGACCAACACGACCTTGACTCTGACTACGGAAAACATCACATCGGAGGACACGCCTACTTGGGGTGTCACGCGTGGTGCCTGCTCGGCCTGTTGCGCGACTGGGGCGCTCTACGAGTGCCAGGTGTACCGCATGGGAACGTGCCCGTCTCGCCTTCGAGGGTTGCAGTGCTCGAGGTGCTATCGCGGCGTGAGTGATCACATGGCGGGAGTAGGCAACGGCGCGGAGTTCGAGGTACAGCACCAATCATGGAGGAGACTCCGCAATGGCACCGTCGCGCAGAACAAGGCCGGGCTGAGACAAGCAAGCACACTACATCAACATGGAGTTCGACTGGCATACGTGAAGAAGATGGTTCAGACACAGATGAACGACACTATGGTCTCCACTGCTTCCAGAGGGGCGCGAAGGACAAGGAAGACGACTCCAGGTACCCTGGTCGAGTACTGCTGCGAGCCGAACAGCCTCATGTCGGAGCTCTGGCAAGCCCAAGGAGGAGCCGCACACCGCCTCGGATTTCCCGAGGACGATCTTCGAGCCCGACGTCGTGCGGCTAAGGCTGGCGATCTACTCGAGCAGGCAGCACGGTCCCGAACTGGGCGTGCCGACGTTCTCTGGCGCAGTCTGCCCTGCAGTTCCTGGACGGCGCTACAGAACTCCCTACCTAGGCTCTGCCTAGAAGGGTTCTTCCTCGGTGTGCTGAAAGGGCCGGGCAGTGTTCCTCGCCCCGGGCGGTTCCCCCGGCATCCGCCCTGCGGTTCCCCCAGTGACGTTCCCTTAGCTTAGCGTTGCTCATCTCATATTAGCTTAGCCTAGCTTACTTAACTTAGCCTAGCTTAGTTTAGCTTAGCCAAGCCTAGCTTAGCTTAGCGCAGCATAGCATAACATAGCATAGGTTAGCTTAGCATAGCACAGTGCAGCATAGCATAGCATAGCAGATCATACCATAGCATAGCATAGCGTGGCACAGCATAGCGCAGCATAGCATAGCATAGCATAGCATAGCGCAGCATAGCATAGCATAGCATAGCATAGCGCAGCATAGCATATCATAGCATAGCATACCGCAGCATATCATGTAATCGCATAGCCTAGCATAGCATCGCATGGCGCAGCATAGCATAGCATAGCATAACATAGCATAGAGCAGCATAACATAGCATAGCATAGCGCAGCATAGCAGAGCATAGCCTAGCATGGCATAGCGCAGCCTAGCATACCCTAGCATAACATAGCATAGCGCAGCATAGCGCAGCAAAGCGCAACTTAGCATAGCATAGCATAGCGCAGCATAGCATAGCATAACGCAGGGAAGAGGGGGAGGAGGGAGGAGGAGGGGGAGGAGGAGGAGAGGAGAGGAGAGGAGAGGTGAGGAGAGGAGAGGAGAGGAGAGGAGAGGAGAGGAGAGGAGAGGAGAGGAGAGGAGAGGAGAGGAGAGGAGAGGAAAGGAGGACGCGGGGACCGTTTCTTCAAAACGAGGACCCAACACCACAGGATGGTTTGGAAAAAAAGCC